CTGTCATCTTCCACTTGCTTAATTCTACTGTACTGGCACAACACAGGAAACTCTAAGTGACCGTAGATTTTAGTCATCTGCATGACTGTGAATGAAGGTTACCAATAATCACCAAGTGAGGAGAGAATGAATTAACTCAAAGATTTTTATTTGCACAAATGGACTACTTCAAAAACAAAACAAAACAAGACCTTTTACAAAGGTTTACCATGTATGGCTTGGTCCAAGTATTAGCTAATAAAAATCATCTAAGCTAGGCCCTTCCTGATGGCACAGCGGGTTAAAGCACAGCACTGAGAAGCTAAAGCCACTTCCACATGAGTTCAATTCCCGCCTGCCCGAGAGGTGACCACATGGCGTGGCAGACCTCTCCTGACCCGCCCGCTGCTCCCCTCAGCAGTGTACTTCGTCGATCTGCCTGTTCTGCTCCCCACTCTGTCTCTGGTGAAGCCTCTCGCCGCCCCTAAGCCTCTGGCCTGTACCCCAGTTCTGTATGCACAAAATAAATAAATCTTTAAAAAAAAATTCATCTAAGCTAATCTTGAAGAAACATCTTGTTTTCCATTACTAATTTGCTTTCATTTTCTCAATATTCTCAGCCCTTTTCTGCTTCTTTTCCAAACTTTTCTTTTGATTTTTACAATGCTTTTGTTTTTATGTTGTCTTCATCCCTGTCAGGAAATTTTGTCTAAATTTAACTTGACATAGAATTCAACATGACCCTTCCCCTGCAATACTCTTTCTACATATAACCCTGGAAGCTGTACCTGATTCCCTGGCACTCCTCACATAACACATGCACAGATTCTGATTCAAAATATCATGTTAAATGAAAACTTCTGCCTCATTCGCATTCCAAAATTCTCAGATGACTTCTATCTATCCACATATATTTTTAAACTTAAGTGAAAACAGGTTGCCTTTACACTGATAGTGCCAGAGCACATGCCACCACTGCCTATATGCATGAATACAATTCTATGAAATTTTCACAAGATAATTGTCATCTTGAAAAACAGGCCCTGCCATGGTCTGATTACTACATATGGAAACGCAACCTAAAGCGGAGTGATAAAGGGCTTTGATTGCTACCTTTAAACATGATGCCAAGTATTCACAAGGACTATGTAAAAGTTTAATAGTTGAGCTCCTCAGTAAGTTCTCTTCCTGGGAAATACTTTAAAAGAATAAAAAAATCTATTTGCATGAATATGCTTATTTCAACGTTACCATAAATAATCATTGGGACCAAAGCTACTGTCTGAGACCAGGAATAATTATGTAAATTATGAGTAATCAATTCAATAGCAAAGTGATAAAGCCAGTTATAAAGAAATCATTATGAAATGAGACTCAATCAAGATCACATAACAAGTCACAAATGAAAAAAGAAAAATGAGAAATTCCATTAACGAGAAGATAGGATTGAATAAGAGTAACAAAGATATGTAAATTCTTGTCCTTAAAAATGTTTAAATAATTGTTTCACCTTTACAATAAAAAAAGAAGAAAATTAATAATATCAGAGAACCTCTTCTCTGAATGTAAATAAAATACCATTTGAAAGCCTGAGTTTTCTTATCCCTATGTACAAAATTAAATATTCAGAATAAGCAGGACCCCACCATCCAAGACCACAGATGCAAACCAAAGTTTGAAACTTGTTTTGGACACATGTACAATCACTGCATGCTTGAACATAACTAGTAATGAAATTTCCATGAGTTAACTTTGAAATAAATAATGGCACCCAGTAGTGGCTTTGAAAAACTACAACCACAAAAAGAAAAAGAAATGGTAAAGGAATTGCAATATTCCAATTGCTTTATTCTCTAAACCAAGTTTATATACATTGTACTTATTTAGAAGTTCAAATATCAAATCATAAATAGAAGAAAAGTCAGAAAAGATGCATCTTAGACTAAAAGTATTTTATTTTCAACATTTTTCTTGTCCCTTAGTTAAGAGGAATTGGATGTTGATTTTAGAACCACCTGATTTCTCAGAGGAATAAAAAAAGGTGACTTTACTACCCTGAATAGGAGTTACCGCCACCTCATCCTGACACCACATTGATACACCGGGAGGGAGCCCTGAATGTGTTGGCTCCTTGGTACAGAAATTAGGTCTCCACTTTACAATAAACCTTCTCCATAAACTCCCATCCCTATCTTAAAAATACCTTCTTAATTTTATAAAAACTTTGAAAAATTACAGTAAACAAATTCTATGTGGTCAATGTCCCAAAGTGAAACTATACATGCCTTAGGTCCAATTCTTTTTCTTTATTTTGTAATTAACAGCTTAAGTGGGTTAAGCAGCTCTGGCTTCATTAAACAATCTGGAAATAATAAGAACCCTTTCCCAAAGAATTAGCTAATTTGACAGCTGTCAAATTATTCCTCTAATAATGTATTGTTTCCTGATGTTAGTGTTAAAATGCCAAGGCATTCTGACAGATAGCTAAAAATTTGTACTCAGGGCTTTTAAATAGCATTAGATATTGGCTTTGGAACCAGCAGTTAAGTAAAAGGGCAGGGCCAACAGGAAAAGGAGGAGACAGAAAAGGAGAGTTGCCAGAAACATTTCTAAGCCCTTTTTCTGATATTGGCCTAAGAAAACTGGCCAGAGGTTTCCCAGCATTTAAGCAACAGTAATTAGGCTGGAAAATTTTAAATATATATATATATCCTTCTGTGTAAATTAAAAATCCCACATGTGAGAATGAATGTGAGAAAGCATAAATTAGAAAAAATAATCTAAAAATGTGTTATCAAACAAGCAGATTTTCTAACTGGGAAGGGACTTTTTTAGTTCACCTGAAAAGAAAATGAAATTTTCTGTTACATTGACATGCTGACTATCTTAGTCTGCAGTGTCACCATTCAATAAGAGTAGCTAAAGATCACATAAGGCTACTGGGCACTTGACGAGGCAGACATGTGCTGCACATACAGAAATCAAACTGAATTTCAAAGACTTAGCATGAAAAAATGTCAGCATCGATACTTTGCATATTGAAGCTGAAATTACAATATTTTATGTACACCAAATTAAATAAAAAACACTATTAAAGTTAATTTCTTATATCCTTTTACTTTTCTTAATGTGGTTAATAGGAATTTTAAGGTTATATATGCAGTTCATATTTGCTGTTCTCACATTTCTACTGGAATATATAAAATAATCACTTGAATCAAATTCCCTTAAAATCCACTCTAGCTTTAGAATTCTGACCCCAGACCCTCCCAGCCAGGGAGGTGACCCACAGCGCGTGACAGACCTGCCTGCTCTGTTCCTCACTGTCTCTCATGAATCCTCTTACCCTACACACACCACTGGCATAAATAAATAAATCCTAAAAGAAAGTAGAATTCTTAAAGGAAAAAAAAAATAGAATTCTGTTACCACAGAAGGACAGTTTTAACCTCGTAGTGTTAACTACAAAATAACTTTAGGGAAACCTTGGTGCAGTGACTTTTTCCTCATTTCTTCACATATCTCACCCAGCCCCTTCAGTGCTTTCTCATTCTTTTTCTCTGGGCCCCTGACAAGAGAAATGAATGCATCTATTTATTTGTGAACAGAGAATGTGCTGAACTGCCACTTGGTGACATGCCTTTTAATGTCATACTGTACTGGTGCCCTTTTTTTCTTTAAAGATTTATTTATTTACGCATACAGAACTGGGGTACAGGCCAGAGGCTCAGGGGTGGCGAGAGGCTTCACCAGAGACACAGTGGGGAGCAGAACAGGCAGATTGATGAAGTACACTGCTGAGGGGAGCAGTGGGCGGGTCAGAAGAGGTCTGCCACGCCATGTGGTCACCTCTGGGGCAGGCAGGAATTGAACTCATGTAGAAGTGGCTTTAGCTTCTTAGTGCTGTGCTTTAACCCGCTATGCCACGAGGGAGGGCCACTGATGCCCATTTTTAATGATTTATCATGAATAATGAACTCTAAGGATTCCTTCATATAAATATTTATAAAACAGGAGTTTTAGAATTAGAGAAACATACAGGTTTTAGATTCCAGTGGTCGCCAAATGTGTTGGCAGGTCTGAATTACCTGGGAATATGAAAAATTCTGATTGCTAGACTTGAGCTCTGGAAATTCTAATTCAGAGGTCTTAATGAGACAAGTTCCTACATTTCTAAACAAGGCGTCCCAGTCACTCAGGTTCAGTCATGCTGGGAACCAGTGGTCAGCCTAACTTACTTCAACTGGAACTGGGGTAAAATGAATCGCAGTGCTTGCTGGTAGGAATGCAAACTAGTACAACCACTATGGAAAGCTGTTTGGAGGTTCCTCAAACTGCTTAACATGGAGCTTCCATATGACCCAGTAATCCCACTCCTACCCAAAAGACACAAAAACATTAATTCAAAAAGATACCTGCACCCCCATGTTTATTGCTGCCATATTTACAATTAGACATGGAAACAGCCCAAATGCCCAAAAGTGGATACTGGATTAAAAAGATGTGGTACACATACACAATGGAATATTACTCAGCAACCAAAAAAAAAAAAGTAAACACATGCCTTTTGCAGCAACATAGATGGAGCTGGAAAAGATCATGCTTAGTGAAATAAGCCAGAAAGAAAAGGAAAAATACCAAATGGCTTCACTCATATCAGCAGTAGAAAGAACCAGGCAAGAAAATAATAATAATGAACAACTATATACCAGAGACATTTTATGGGGGTGGAGTAGGGAATGGGATCAAAAACAGTAGGGGGAGGGCAGTGCACTGGACTATGGTGATGGCACATAGGTGATGTGGTTATGGGAAGTCCATGGGGATGACAACTGAGATGGAAAAGGCACAAAATGATGCAAAAATAAACTATTATATTATTTTAAAAAAAAAAGAAGAAGAAGAAGAAGAAGCACAGTGCTGAGGACCAATGGCCTCCAACTTGAAGCAGAATTCAGGGCTCCCTACACCAGCTCTCTGCCCTGGAGAGAGACACCCTGTCCAGTGCATGCATTACTCACTCATCCTCAAGAGGTCCAGTCATCAGTATGTCTTCCTTGTCAGTTTTAACATCCAGCTCTGGTTCTCCACTAAGCAGAAGTTTCAAATTATAAATAACCAGCAATGTGCCTAGTAGAAAAACAAATGTTTGGTCAATATTTGAACTAAAATAGTTATTAGCCATAGCACTAGTACCTTATCTAAAGAAGTAAGCCTACTAGAGACCAAATTTCTTCTTGTACTCAAGCAAATAATAGACTAGGCTAAGTTCCATGATAGGTTTTACAGCAAATTCTAATGTCTGCCAAATAGGGCTGAGTTTCCATAATATTGTGCTTCTTAATATTACACAATTCATTTTAAGTCTTTCACACTGTTCTTATGCTTTCACATTCTTTTCATTATTTGCATTATGAAAGATGTTAAGAGCCCAAGTCAGATTGGAATTGCAGGTAAAGGTCTCAGAGAACTGAATCAATGCATGTAGAAAAAAGATGAATTCTTAAAAGCTGCACAAATATGAAGTACAGCTTTTTTGACCCAAGGATAGATGTTGACAATTTTTTCTTGATGTGAAGGGCCAAGCAAAAATATTTTAGGATTTGCAGGGCATGTGGTTTCTGCTGCAACTCAACACAACTCAACTCTATCATCATAGCAAGAAAGCTGCCACAGAGATTATATGAATGAAAGAGTGAAAACAGGTATGGGCTGGACTTGACGTGTGTGCAACAGTCTAGACCCTTGCTCTAAAGCGTAGTTAACAAAAAAGAAATTCTTACAACGTTGTTTATGAAAATAAACAATACTGTCAGAGAAGTTAAAAGAACCATCAATGAGACTCTTTTTTAGTAGTATTTAAGCAAATGAGAAAACAGCTAGAGGCCAGGAATTTGGATAGAAATCTAAATGGAATCTGAATGCCTATTTTTAAATCTTTTTAAACAATTTAGTAGATGACCTCAGATGAATTTCCTGACCTCTCTAAACCTAACTTTTCTAATATATACACTGCAGCTGAGGAGGTACCCATACCAGAGAGTTGCTCTGAGTATTAGGTGTGTTAAACTTTATAAAATATTTTTTAAAGTATTCAGGAAATAGTAAATCCTTCATTATCACTTATGAGTATTTCACAATTTATAACTCAACTGAGAGGTAGCACTATCCTTAAAGTATATGGGTTACAATATGAATAGCTACTTGGCTACCTAATTACCGCTTTTTCTCCAATGTGACAACAGGAAAAAGGTGATGCAAACACATAGCTTTCTCGGGAGCATAGTTCTTTTTGTTTCTAGATTTGAAAAGGTGGAAATCTGAAGACTGAACACTGTCTTGCAAATGTTAGACAGTACACTGAACATATTGAGTAGAAAGTTGGTGAAGGTTAAAGGAAAGCAGAAAGACCTGTTAACTTGGAAAAGAATGTCTACAAAGCTTCTGTTAACAGTCATGGAAACCTGGATCTCTTTACAAGTCACTAACTCTTATTAAACTCGGTCCATCTCATCCTAGCCACTGCAATAAGCAATACCTAACTTTACTATCTGGTAAAGTATCTGTGAATTCCCTGTATCATCCTCTTATCCAGTTTTACCGCAAGTGTAGACCTTTCTCTCAGTGATAAGGACTTAAAAGAGTTATTCATGCTTGAATTTCTTAAGAGAAAACTGATATGGATAAAACAAATGATTGTCCCTATGTGAAACTCCCCATACTGCAAAAAAGAAAAAAATTAAAAACATAATGTACAGTATCTTTCATGATACTGAAAACAAACATTTCCATAAAAGTTTCAGAGTTTTGATGATCTTACCACACTTCCCATAGATCACATCAAACTGTTTCATCAATTCAGCATTGGTTTTAAATGGAGAATATTGATAAATTATGGACAATTCTGTTGAGAATTTTTGAGGATCATCTGTGATAGATTCTCTGGTTCTTGTTAACCACGAAGGTATTGGAACCACAACCTATTAAACAACCACATCAACAATTTTTTCATGAAATACACAAGTAAAATCAATCATCCTTTTGTCTGATCCTAATTCAGTCCACTCTTAAGCCAAATTTCAAAACACAAAGTTAAATATTTCTTTCCTATATTCTAGTTTCATAAGGAACAGGTACACAATTAAATCTGTATACTCTGGGTTTTACTCTAAAATCATCCACTGTGGAATGTAGAGCCAAAGGGACTTGATTTCAGAATCCTATTTAAGTATGGATAGAATGGAAAAGGAAATACTGGTACCAGCATTTTAGAAGTTGAAAAGGAGATGATAGCAAATTCAAGAAAACCAATCTAAAGCCTATGCCTGATTTATAATTCAGAGTCTCTTAAGGGACTCAGAGATCACTGGCATGAATTAACTCCAGAGGTAAGGAGACAGGAAAAGAGAGCCAGACGTTCTCTATTATTGCTTTGAATAAAGCTCTCTGTTCTTTTCTTGCTTCTACTTCTGGGATATACATTATCTTTATATTGCCTTTCTTAACAGAGATGGATAATTTTTGAAGTTTTTTTTTTCTTTTTATTTTGTATGTCTCTCTCTTCTACTTTGGTCATTGTGCATTGCCATCTTAGAGTTCACTGATTTGATCCTCCAATCCAGAATTAGTCTATTCTGCTTCCATAGCTTTCTCAAGAAATTTTTATGTGATTTTTATTGACTTCTTAACATCCTGAATTTCTACTATTTTCTTACTTGAAGTTTCAATTTCTATCTTATGTTTATTAATTATGTTTCTAAGGACATTAATTTGTTTTTCTGAATTTTGTTGTATCTCCTTAATTAGTTCTTATATATTGCGTTGACTTGCTTTTTTGTGTTTTCATCCATTTCTTTAATTTTACTATAGTAATTTTGAACTCTTTATCTGTCTCTGGTTCAATTCTGTCCTCTCCTTAAGAAGTCATATTACCTAGAGGTCTCAAGGTGCCATGTGTTGTATTTTTTCCTGCCATTATTGTTGCTTTAGATTTCTCTACTGTTAAAGATATTTAAAAGTAATTTAGAGTAATTTTGTAGTAAGTTAGAGAATTTAATGCTTTTTTACTTTTCTGGAAGATAGCATTATTATTTGATTTTAGTTTTTGGCCTTTACTGACTTCCTTAGGTGAGAAGACCTAATCTTGGAATTTTGAGTCAAAGGGTGGGGAGGGCCTTGGACAGGCCCTGAAGCTGATTCAAATGTATTGGGGGGATGGGGGGGGCTCCTGTATGTAGCTTCTCCTCTCTGAGGTACTAGATCTGAAACTCTGCTGTATGTGCTGTCAGCACATTTTCTGAGGCCAATACCAGTCCTGAGGGATGGGAGAAGCGAACGCAGTTCAGTACACTTTGTTCTTTTTACTGGAAACCAAGCCTGTGATGAACACCCCAGTTACTCTGCCCGTGTTTCCCATCAATGATGGCACTGATTAGGTCTCCCCTCCTAGGGCCCCTGACTGAGCAGCGGCTCTGCTGTCTGTATCCCTGCCCCAGACCAGCATTTATCTCTATCACCTCTTGTTCAATGAAGCATGAATCTTCTCCATGCAGTTTGTGTTGCTGTATGATACTGAAGGAGTGTTCCCGTATTTCTCCCTGTCGTTTCTGTCCCTCTAATAAACTGTTATGTGACCCTCTCAGGAACAAAACAAACACTTATGTCATCACTTTGTTCCTTCCCTTTCTCCAGCATCTTATTCATTTTCAAAAAATTATAATCTTGGGCTCTCCCTGGTGATGCAATGGGTTAAAATGCAGCACTGCAAGCCAACTACAACTGCAGTCACTTCAACTTCAGTGTGAGTTCAATCCCAGGCCCAGAGGTGACCCACATGGCAGGGCAGACCTCTCCTGACCCGCCCACTGTGCCCCTCAGCATTGTCTTTGTCAATCTGCCTGTTCTGCTCTCCGCTCTGTCTCTGTGAATCCTCTCTCTCTCTGTGCCTGCACCCAGTTCTGTATGCATAAATAATCTTTTTTAAAAAAAATGATAATCCACTTAAGACAAAAGTAGTTGGAATACTTGTAAATGTCTATAAAGTTCACTGCACCAAAGGGAGTTTTTTTATTCTGGGAGATTTGGATACATGGATAAAGTTCTAAAAATTACTTAGGTATGAAAAGCCCACTCATGAAAGAGCCAACAGGATAGACTTCCAAACACCCCAACTTAGTTTTCCACAATCTGTCCATTTCCAACATGTTCCTAAATTCACTAATTATAATCAGAAGAAAGCTATGGTAGACTGTAGATCCTAAGGTGCTAAATGAAAACAATACCCTGAGAGTAAATCAAGAAAAAACTTCAATTCTTACCTCACTAAGCCCTTCTCTTTCACAAAACGTCTGAGAAAAAAACACACAGGTCATTGTTTCTTCCTTCTTTGTAAAAAGAATAAAGTCCTTTCCAATCCTCATGGAGCCACTATTATTAAAAATCAAGAACATAATGATTTGCATCTCAAAAACTGAAGATAAAAATAGGGTATACAATTGTGTATTCTAATCTTCTTCAAACAGAAATTACTCTTTTGCTGACTGATCACCAGAAGGTACAGGTACAAGATATAAAGTTTGTTTCTTTCCTAATGTAGAGCAGGTGGATTTGATGTAGCCCTGCCTAAATTCCTGTTGAAACATGATTGCTGGAAATAAGATGCTGTCCAGAGTCCCCAGCAGGAGTGACACAGGTGAGTGCAGCCTCTTATCCTCAGCTTTCATTGAGGCACACTAATAAAGAAAGCTGTGAACACATGTAGCCTAACTAAAATGTAACCTGAGAAATGGCAGAGCAGAGATGCATAGCATGCCACGTCAGTAATCTCTGCAATAAGATCTCATCCATTTGAGAATTAATTTAAAAAATGTAAAGATCCAAGTCACTTGAGGGCATGGAGATTCCAAGACAAGGCAGAACTCTCACATTTATACCCTTTCTTAAGCTTATTACCTTATACTAACCAGTGTCTGTCCCCAATATCAAAAATATATGCTTTAAAGAAAAAAAAAGTCACCTTTTAAGACCATTGCCATATTGTCCAATAAACTTCAAGGTTGATAAGCGTTTCTTAGATGTTCCAAAATAGATAATATCTGAAGCCTCCTCTGTAATTGACAAAGATGATTAAATGGTTAGAAATTATAAGTCACTGCTGTTGGACAGAGGTCCACTTATAAAGACACTGGGATAAATCCATACCTCTGAGTCAACCCAGAGACAAGAATCTTGCAGGTTTCCACAAGCTCTGGCCAGGATCTTAATGGCATTTTATTGAAGGAGATCAGACTCTCCTAGCCATGTGACCTTGAGCAAATAAAGTTTAAAACTCTGCGCCTCAACTGCCTCATCTCTAACAGGGAACTACTATTGCTTGTATTAAAGAAGTTGTTGATGAAGATAAATGAAATGAATTAAACAAGATGTGTTTGTGAAACCCAAAAAGTAATTCATGGCACTTAGTAAGTGTTAATAAACATTTTATAAATTGTACTGCCAGTAATTCTCCATAAATTTGGCCCATATTCAACCCCAGTGAGGATGAAAAGGGCAGAAGGGCTTCTGGCTTGATGGTACCTGGAAGAGAAAGCCAAGTTGTTTTGGACTGTTGAGTCATTCTCCAAATCTCTCCAGAACATTTTCAAGTTCTAGAGAAGAATACTTGGACTTCAGAATGTGCCTACCCTCCAAGAAAAAGTGTTCCTAGAAAGAGGTAGAACTTGGACTGCCAACTGGTTTACCTGAACACTTGCTCTAAAAATTGTCCTGAGGACCCTGAGTAGTGTGAGTGCAGACAACCTACACAGCTTGGTGGCATCTGGTATGGAACACTCCAGTTGTCAGAAGTATCTGGATATTCTATCACATAACCTTAATCTGGATATTCTATCACATAACATAATCTTCTAAAGGGTTGGTTATTAGGTGAGGAGATCTATAATGATAATATTAGTTGCTGGAATACAGTAATCTATAAGAAATATGTATTTAGTCATCCAGATAACCAAAGTATTTTTCACATACTTTGGGTTTTGTCCATGCAATTCATAGTTCTCAAAATCCCTGGAATTTCATGAGTAATAAGAGTAATGTAGTACACAAAGTTGTTCACTAATGATCTACACCCGAAATTTATGTTATAACGCAATGTTACTTCATTATAAAAAATGACCAAAAAAAGAACAATCAGTGGAAGTTTCTTTAGTTATAAAGCCATTTGATCTCATATCCTCAATTTTCCTAAAGTTGCTTCTGAACCACAAATGGGTGTCTTGTTATTTATAACATGCCTCATTCAACTGCAAACAGAATTCTGTTAATGACATGAATTTTTTAAAGTAGCTCTTTGACAGGGGACCCAATCATGAGCAGAACTGGATCTTTCATCCCTATGAACTAATTACAGGGAAGGGAAGAGGAGCTGGAGTTCGAATTAATCACTGACAGCATGATTTTATCATCATGTCTATGTAATGAAGTCTTCATTAAAAAGGGGGGTCACCCATGTTTATTGCTGCTTTATTTACAATTGGAAAAACATGGAAGCAGCCCAAATGCCCAAAAGTAGATGACTGGATTAGAAAGATGTGGTACA